CCTGGCAGCCCTTTGCAGCTACAGCTGTGCTTGGGGAGTGGATGCTCTCTCCTCTCCCATCCCCTGCTTAAACAACACAAGAGTTTGTGACCACAAAGAAGAGGACTCTTCGGACTGCCAACAGTAACTTTCATCGGTGCCCTTGGGTTGGTAGCATTTGGAAGACGAGGCACAACAGGCTGATGCCGGTTGGGTGCCCTTTGCCTAGGGGATTGCTGACCACCCGAATAAAGTACCGGGGATGCTCTCTCCTCTCCCATCCCCTGCTTAAACAACACAAGAGTTTGTGACCACAAAGAAGAGGACTCTTCGGACTGCCAACAGTAACTTTCATCGGTGCCCTTGGGTTGGTAGCATTTGGAAGACGAGGCACAACAGGCTGATGCCGGTTGGGTGCCCTTTGCCTAGGGGATTGCTGACCACCCGAATAAAGTACCGGCTTAGATCGCGATTGCAGCCCAGAAGCCACCCCCTTATGTGCTTGCTGCATGCCGTGCTTCCTCGAATGAGTCTGCGACATGCCTAATAAGAGACGAGATGGGCCAGGGCGACGAGAGCGACCGCATTGTGATCAACGTGGGAGGGACTAGGCACCAGACTTACCGCAGCACCCTGCGCACCCTGCCCGGCACTCGGCTGGCCTGGATCGCTGAGCCCGATGCCCACAGCCACTTTGACTATGACCCGCGCACAGACGAATTCTTCTTTGACCGGCACCCAGGTGTCTTTGCCCACATCCTGAACTACTACCGCACAGGCAAGCTGCACTGCCCAGCGGATGTGTGTGGGCCTCTGTACGAAGAGGAGCTGGCCTTCTGGGGCATTGACGAGACGGATGTGGAGCCCTGTTGTTGGATGACCTACCGCCAGCACCGCGACGCTGAGGAGGCACTTGACAGTTTTGGAGGGGCACCACTGGATAGCAGTGCTGAGGACGGAGATGCAGATGGCACCGGAGACTCCGGGGATGGCGAGGAAGAGCTGGAAATGACTAAACGCTTGGCACTCAGTGACTCGCCCGATGGCAGGTCCGGGGGCTTCTGGAGAAGGTGGCAGCCGCGCATCTGGGCACTTTTTGAGGATCCCTATTCTTCCAGATATGCAAGGGTAAGCTATACAATCAGCATCATGCTGACTTCTTTCCCAGGGCAGTCCCCTAACCTCAGTCTTCCTGGCTAACTTCATTCCCCTCAGCACTGCTGAGTATACTCACTCTGGAGCAGGCACACATGCATGGCCACATGTGGTCTAGAGCAGGCACACCACGTGCATGGTCACATGCAGTCTACAGCAGGCACACATGCATGGCCATATGGAAACCCAGATTCCAGAGCAGGAACTCATGCATGGCCACATGCAGTCTAGAGTTGGCACACATGCATGGCCATATGCAGACACATGCGTGGGGGCATGGAGACTTGCATTCCGGCACATGGGCATGGGCACATGCAGTGTTGAACATTCATACATGTGCAGGCATATGGAGCCCTACACTCTATAGCCAGGGCATGTGGAAAGATCCATGCCCTTGTTCACTTTCATGGAGACAAGAGATTCATTAGAGTAGGCAGTGCACAGAGGATTGAGGATGAGTTCCCTCCCTACCACCATGCATCCAAATGGTCACAATTATTCATTCCCTACCAATCAAAAGAGGCTCCCCCTTCACCGTTCCTCCCTATTTCTCCTCCTTGAGAAGCATTCATTAAAGCAGGTGGTGAATGCAGAAGAAAGGTTTGGGGAGTTTCTTGGTGATAAGGTAGCCTTTCGTGCACCATTTCTTGAGACATGCAGTGTTAAATAGTTCCTGTTGTGACTCTTTGATGAACACCCTTCGGTCTCCATTACACACCTAGCCAAGGTTTCCTTTCCAAATAGACAGAGAGGTTCTTATTAGAGCAAACTGCATCTGCATGGAGAAGGGATGTATTTGATGGGTTTCTTTCTTGGGTACTGAAGGACAGTTCGTCCTGAATGTAAAATTAATGCAAATGAATGCTGGTGTGATCCACACCATAGTCGTATGTGCTCTGAAACAGCCAACTGACTCCTCCAAATAGTCATTCACATGCTAATCTCGGGACTGATTCTGCCCTTATAGAAGTCAGTGGTAAAGCACTCTTCATCTTCAGTAGCATCAGGATCAGTCCCACAGGTATCTGTCTGGAAAAGTGAGGGAAATGAATGATGGGTAGGTGAACAGGGAGAGAGAGGGCTTAACTTCATGTGATCCCTATCTTACAGATACACAGTAAAGACAACTCCTGTCAGCCCTAAGTGAGTATGGCTGGTTTACTGGTGTGGGAGGGTAATCAAGGTGTCATGTGTGGATCTAAGGAATGAGATGAAATTAGAGGGCAAGCAGGAAAAATACATGGACGTAGATGGAAGAAGTGGATGGAAAGGGATGGAAATGTAGAGTAGATCACTATAGGAACAGATGGTGAAATGGTGGCTAGTGGAGGCATCAGGCTGAGCAAAGATTTCTAATGCCGAAATGCCACGTCTGCAAACTAAATGAATGAGGGAGACAAGAGCAGAGCTGGAGGTACTTTTTATGCATATTCATTAAGATTTTTGTTCACATGCTCTTCTGAGATTTCCTGCTAAATAAAGAAGTTAAAATTTAAAAGGAGCATCTTTAAATAGTACAAAATATAAGGAATTAATGAAATATTTACCACAACATAAAAGGACAGTGCTGTTGAGCTGCAGCTTTCCCATTCCTGATATCTGCGAAGGGAACATGGAAATGGAGGGGGAAGGCTAGAGGGTGTCTTTCAAAAGGCTCAGTTAGCTTCCTGTAATGAACCAAAGTGTTAACATGCATTGATTTTGGAAGTAGCCTTCTTTGGTGGTCAGGCATCTGTTGTTAAAGTGCATCCCAATAAGAAATGGAGCATCTGCCATGTATTTTGTGGCATGACCGTAAGGCCAAACTGCCAATGTTTCCCATGGAAAATGGTGCAAATGAAGAAGAGTTTGTAAAATCATCTCAGATTGCAGGCTGAAGTTTATCACCAATATTCAAAGACTTTGTACAATCTTGAATTCCAATTGGGTAGGACGTTCACTTTGTATTTGCTCATGAGGATAGTTTTTTTATAAGGCAATTCAGATTATTCTGCAGATGATATACAATTTATTCATAATTATGTATCCATTCCTCTGTGTGCATACCTCATTCAATTCAACTTCTACTTGGCTTTAAAGCTGTTCTTACCTTAAGGTATTCTTATGGATGAGACTGAAGAATTATGAATTCTAGTCACTACACAAAGTTAAGGTGTGCAATGATCACTTTGTGTTTTAAATAGAAGATCCATTTAATTGTTATCTACAATCATCTATGACATAAGCATTTTAAGCATTGTTATCTATAATCATATGTGACGTAAACTGTCACCACCAGCACATGTACCCTGTCCATTAAGAATACAGTAAAGGACATTTAACATTTTCTATAAAAGCAAAACATAATGGTTGTGTGTATAAAGGAGATAGAGAGAGATTGGTCTATATTGTGATTATTTAATGACAGACATGACAAAATACCTCAAACTCACTGTCACTAATTAGCAGAGAAATAATCAATAGCCTCTTTAATATATGGACAGTATGCTAAAGAAGTCAATAGCACAGAACAGTAATACTATCAGGTAACTAACAAACTCACATGAATACAATTACATCAGAAGCTTAACCATCTGAGCTATTTTTAAAGTTATTTCCTATATTTTAGCATACAGCAAGGCTTAAATTAATTGTTATTTTTAAAAGTAATTAATTTAAATAAACCAACTAGCACTTACAGTATTTGTTAGTGTTGGTGAAGATGGCTATTAGATGCAGGGGCGGATATAGGGCAGGGCGAACGGGGCGGCCGCCCTGGGCCCCGCGCTTCAGAAAGCCCCGCGCATGCACCGTGACGCCGCTGCGCATGCGCATGGCGTCACTGCGCATGCGCTGTGGCAAAGGGGGGCCCCGCGGAATTATGTTGCCCAGGGCCCCGCAAAACGGTCATCTGCCCCTGATTAGATGTATACATGCTTTCATTTTTTATGTTTTAATATTTTACCAAAATTATGTGTTTAAGATGGTATCACAAAGTTAAAATTTTTTAATTAAAATTCTTGTTATAGCTGTACCTCATAATACACTCATGTAAAAAGAATACAGTTTACAAACTGAAAGGCTAAGTATATGTTAAAACCCCTTCTAGATCTCATAGAGAAGTGGAATAATATTTCTCTAGACAAGATATGATGCAATTATTAATTGTGAACATTTTATCTATCAGCTTTGGCTATTTCTTCCAGGAATTATCCAGGAAAAAAGATCAAAACACACAGAGCAAACATTTTGCAAATGTTTTGATTGGTAGTTTCCCCCTTGTGTAATCAGGGCCATATTTTAGAATGTGCATAGTTTATGTGTTAGCATAAGCATTCATTTGAATTTTCAGTATTTAGATTCAAAATTTGAAATGCATGAGTGATCACCAAGTCACATGTTACTGTTTCTGTTCTCAGATTGGATACACATTTGCAGAAAGGAAGGAAATTATGTATATCTGGCAAGGCTGGCTACTATGCAAGTCCCCATTCCCTTCCTCCGCATCCCACAAGTATCTGTGTTGCTAAAATATAAATGCCTGGTCAGTAAGGGTGCGACTATACTGCACCGTAGGTTGAAATAAGATATGCAACTTTAGCTATCCAAATTGCATATCTTATTTCAATCTTATTTTGAAATAGCTTATTTCGTCATTTGGCACTGTCTACACAGTGCCAGAATTCGAAATAACCCGCTATTCCAAAACATCCCTTACTCCTCGTAGAATGAGGTTTACAGGGACATTGGAATAGCAAATCCAGTACAATGGGCTTGCTGTTAAGATACAGGTTAGCTATTTTGGAAAACTCCAGTATCCCGAAATAGTGTTGCAGTGTTGACATAGTCTAATAGTGGATTGAAAAGCAGCATTTCTTTTAAGCCTGTCTCACTATAGGATTGAAGGAAAATAGAATAATGATCAGGGCTTGACAAATAATACAATCTACTCGCCTGTGGTGAGTAGATTGTAACCCGGAAGAGCTGGGTTTGGGTGATCTGCGCATGCGCAGAACGATTTGCGCATGCGCAGATCACCGAACAGCGCGGCTGGCGAGCGGAGCGCGGCTGGCGAGCGGGACTCGCCGCGGTTCGGCGAACCCTGGTAATGATCATCACAGGAAAACAGAATCTACAGGCCAGATTTACAAGGTATTTAGGTGCTTAAGGAGGCAGAGACACCTAATGGGATTTACAAAAGCTCCTAACCAAGTTAGATGAAATCCAATAGGAGTTAGGCACCTAACTCACATAGGCACTTTTGTGAATTCCAGCAGGGGGGGTGTATATGCATATTTATGCCCCTAAATGCCTTTGTAAATGCAGCCCTAAAACTAGAAAGTATACGCAAAAAAAAATCTATATCGCAACTTGAGAGAGGCCAGTTCCTCACTGATGTAAATCAGTCCAGCACCACTGAAGTCAATGGAACTACACCAGTTTACATCAGCTAATGACTTAGCACTATGTGAAACAGAAGCCATTCAGATCTACTGAGCATTCTGATGGCACTATTGTAACAACTAGCATGGGCCCCTCACAAGTATCTGTAAGACAACTTCATCCACGAATTGTTAAAATCTGTTCCTAGCACCCTTCCTCTTTCCTTTTAGTGATTGTTTTCTTGCATAGTGTCTGAACCTGCAGACCTTATTCAGGGAAATTTCCCACTGACTTGACTGGTAGTTTTGCCTACATAAGCACTGCAGGATTCCTTTTCCTCATCCTTTTCCTCTTCCTTCCCTACTAAGCCGAGTGTGTTTTTTTAAATCTGACAGTTGTTAACTTAGCCAGTATCATGGCATCTGGAACTGTCAGGTGAGTTTGTGTGCATGCGCTCACACTAGCTTCAAACTATCAGAGGAGTAGCCGTGTTAGTCTGAATCTGCAAAAGCGGCGGGGGGGCCTGTGGCACCTTATAGACTAACCGAAGTGTTGGAGCATAAGCTTTCGTGGGCAAAGACCCACTTCATCAGATGCACGTAGTGGAAATT